TAATCAGGCTCCCAGGGACTGAAGCGGGGCATTGGGTGTTTGAGGAGTCAGGCAGCTCTCCTGATGGTTATTGGCTTTTTGGCCTCAATCTACGCCAACGTCGTACTCACTGTACTCTGTAAGTATTTCATTGTTTTACAATCTCCTGTGTTTCCTGCCCTCCAGTCTGAGTGTGTATATCTGCCTGTCTGTCTCTCTGTCTGTGAGAGTCTCACGCTATTCCACTCGCTGATTATTCTCTCTTTATTTCAGCTCAGTGTGCTTTTGGACACCTATAATTGGCAATAAACAAGATAAAGCGCTCTCTCCAGTCCAGTGAGGGTCATGTAATAGAAAAAGCACAAAAGTCCATAATTGTGAAATATTTCTCCTGCAGGGCCAAAAGTCTCCGGCAGCTCAGCCTGATAATGTGCTTGGGAAGACACTCTCTCATTTGAAACAAACACCACTGGGGCTGTACATGCTTGATCTATTACCACACACACACTCACACACACACACACACACACACACGCCCACAGAGAAGCTATTGAGTACAATTTTAGTATCTAACAATAATGACTTGCATCTCTTGCAACAAGAGAAGGAAGTAAAAAACTATGACAACAGGCTCTATAACATATTGTAAGAAAAAAATAGATTTAATTCTACTTTATGAGTGTGGCATAGAACCACAGATTATGTACTGTATAACAAGAAATTGGTCAATATTCCTAGCAGTTAAGTAGTATTGCTATTGTGGGTCGGGTAAGCTGATAATATACATTTTTACATGTTTTCACTTTACTTTGGTAGACTCTTTATTTGCTTTATAGTGGTACATTAGCTGCACAATAAACCACATCTGCCATATGAAATATGAAATATGCAGCACATTGTAACATTTAACTTCACAAATATCTTAAAGCACTATTTAAAAAAATACCACTTCACGTTTTACTGTGAAATCTGTTAGCCACATTCAACCTCACTACATCACATGCACCTGTGTTTATACATCTGCAGGGTTGCCAGGAAATGGTAAAATGTTAGCTTTATCAAGAAGAACTCATTTTTAAAATACACGCTCTGATGTGAATTACTAACCACAGCAAAACTTTCAGGTTACAGTTCATCAAGGTCAAAAACTGTAAATATGAACTGATGGGCAGAAAGTGGTTTGACTTCTAATTCCTCTGAACCAGTGATAATACCGGTCATATTATCAAGTTTCAAACTCATCCTGAGATATTGTAGATAGTGTCTATGACGGTAATGAAAGCCACAAACGTACATTTACTCTTAATAAATAAAGCATTAAAGCATAAAAAAATATGTTTTAATAGGCAATCTGGAATGGAAGCATAAACATCGGAAACACAAATGTGGAAAAATATCTGGCAATGAAACCAGAGAAAGTTCATATTGTAAATGATAATTATTTTACAGCCACAAGGGAGCTCGTATAAACTCAATTATTCCAGCAACAGCAGCAATAAAATCTTACAGAGATTCACAGACTGTACTAAAGAGCATCATATGTTTGAAGAGGGACAAGTTAGTCTTGAGTGAGAAAACACAACAGTATGAAAATTACATTCGTTTTTAGTCACACTTTCGTGGGTCGGTCCACCACTTGGGTCCAGACTGAAAATCTCAACCGCTACTGGTTGATTGCCATGAATTACTTTAGGGCCTACAGGTAATCATGGTACCAGAGGATGAATCCTACAGACTTTGGTGATCTTCTTATTCTTTTACTAGCGCCACCATGAGGTTGTCATTTGTAGCTTTGTGTGAAATGTCTTGTCAATTACTGGATGGATGACATGAGATTTTGTACAGACATCTGTGTCCCCCTCAGGATGAATTGTAGCTTTGGTGATCCCTTAACTTTTTTTATCTAGCGCCATCATCCTGCCTGCGAAAAAAGCTATCGGTCCATCAGCTCCCATCAGCCTCTGCTCTGTACATTTTAGTGCTAATTAGCAAATGTTAGCATGCTAACATGTTAAGCCAAGATGGTTAAAAAAACATTAACATTTTAGCATTGTCATCATGAGCATGTTAGCATGCTGACATTAGCATTTAGCACACAGACAGTCTCTCCCCCCTCCCCTCCCAGTGATTGGCATGCTGTTGCCAGGCGCTTCCCTGGATTCTTCATCTCTGGGTTTGAACTTCACCTGGTTCAAAGACGTAACATCCAGCTGTGTGATGACACGCCCTGGGACAGAGCTGTTCAAAGACAGGTGGCAGGATGTAGATCAAACATGTACACGATCTTCATTTCCTGCTGTCTTTGATTTACTGCTCCCCTCATCCTTTTATCTTGCCCTTTCTCTCATTAACAGTTAAGCAGTGTAGGGATTGTCCTGAAGGATGGCTTCATCTTGGGGATCAGTGTTAACACTTCAGCAGTGACAAGCTGTACTGGCTGAACAGTAGAGATGGGCAGCCATCTTACCATACTGCACACTATAGAACAGCATGTGAGAGTGTGTATGTGTGTGGTAAATGTGCGTATGGGGATGAACTGAACACAACTTTTCAACCGACTTCATAGATAGAAATGATCCCTTTGTCTGCAGAGCCCTGCTGACCAGCACAGGTGTTCCTCATTCCCATTAATTGGGTTGGTTACTGTGTGCTGTCAGCAAGAGAAGAAAATTAAAGACACGAGGGGGTGTGTGTGTGTGTGTGTGTGTGTGTGTGTGTGTGTGTGTGTGTGTGCGCGCGCGTGCGCGTGCACATGTGTGTAAAGGTGGGAAGCATCTTTGCAAGGCAAGGTCACTTTACAGAGTCTTTACTTTTGCAAAGAGATAGTTTAAGATTAGATGTTAGATTTAAGTTAAGGCCACAGTAGGTATTTTTCACAGCAGATATTTGGATCTGTCAGTTCTTTTAAATATTTTTTTCTTTTTACCACTGCCTTTAATTAAATCAAATGTAAGGCTGTAGATTAATATCGTACACTGCACTATGAATTTTGTCCTGTTTTACCCTGTTTTTGTTTCCTATTTAACTCTTTAAATTTAATTTCCCTTTGTTGCCTTTGTGTTTTATGTAAAGCATGTTTTTGAAATGTGTTATGCATATAAACTTGCCTTGCCTTGTCAGCTGAACCTCAGGTCAGGACTGGGTGTGTACAGACCAGATTGGGTTTAGTTAAAGTTGTGGGTTTACTGTAACAACTGAAGATCCTTCCTGGTATAATAAAACCATAATCATAAAGTGTGCGTGTGAATTTGAGTTTTACACCTAGGCAATGCATTATGTCAATGATGTACACACATGTTGTGTGTGTTTAACTTAAGGAGTAAAATAAGCCAGGAGGATTGGTGTATTTGATATTCCACTTCTGGACCTGCCTGTCTTATATACAGAAAGAAGGAGACTGGAGATGCACAACACAAGTACTATCTAATTTTAACACTTAATGTATGAAATCATTTTAAATATATACTTTATATTGAAGTTGCTATACTGCATTCATTTTAAATTTTGATGATACTGAAGAAACTGTTCTGAACTGTCCAAAGCAAAATAAGCCGCCTGTTAGATACCGAAATTAAAATAATATATAAACTGACTTTAGCAACATCCAAATAAATGTTAAATGTATTTGTAGTAGACACACAACAATGTCCATTCTTGCACCAATACCTCAGATAACCTCAGAAGGAGGCATTTTTCAGAAATGTTCACAGTTGTGAGCTTACCCTGTCTATCTCCCTTTCCTCATCTCTCCCTCTGTCACAGATACTGGGATCAGTGGAACTCAGAGCCAGATAACCACCAGTAAGGCAGGGGACATGGATAGGACTGCGCCACCTTAGACAGCCACTCAAAGACATGGTTTGATGTTCCTTGTGATCACAGTTATAGACGGATCTGCCAGATGGATGCCATTCGGCTCAACTGAATCGTCCTACAACAGAAAATAGTGCAGAACTGGAAAGTCTGAAAATGACACACTTTCTGGGTTGTGACAGACAATGCAAAAATGAATGGACACCAAAAGGTAATTTTTGTGATATGCAACATATGCACCCCCGACCGCAGGATAAGCGGTTGACTACGGATGGATGGATGGCAACATATGCTCAGGAGAGTTTTTTACTGAAGGTGTAGTTCATGGAAATCTGTGCATTATGTTGAGATGTTACTTGCTGAAGGAAATAAGTATCATGAATGACATGTACTCTGCATACCTACTTTTAAGTAAATCTATAATGAAAAACATTACATTAAAAGAAAATATAAATTGTAGTATTGCTCTAATTTTATGAAGTGCTTCATCAAAATTCTTTTTTTTGTTTGAATGTTACATCATCCAGGTCTGACTGCAAAAAAAAAAAGAAGTAATGTTGTATGCCATGAATGCTGTTATTTTCTGTCTCTGCTGATGTTTAGAAGAGATTTCTGCAAATTCACAATTTTAAACAGATTATTTCAGAAATAAAATTGTATATTTTATTTTTATATATGTATATATTTTTTAAATATTTTAATCTTGTTGCATCACTGCACTACTTCAGACTTAATGTATGTCAATGGAAATAGTCTTTTTTTATATAGTCAACCTTTTTGTGTCTATGTTTTTGTTTTTTACACTCTACAACATACAAACATCCACACAGCATGCTGACAAGCAGTTGAAGTCTGGTCATTGATGTAATATAATAAAGTAAATGTAATATACTGGATAAAACACTGGTTTCCAACATTTTTTTGCTTGTGATGATTTAAAATGAAAAAAGGTCTACAAGTGATAGTCTTCGTCTGGACATGAGCTGTTAGAGTTCAACCAAGAAAGAGTTTTCACTAGAAAAGAAACAATAATTAGAGACATGGCAGACAAAAGCCCTCCCTTGTTTTGTCAACTCCTCCATTAAGTTATCTATAAAGAACAAATTGATCTGATTATGTTTCAGGTGGCATAAATCACATGACCGCTAGATGACGCTGTCTGAGCCCCTGACACAGATGCTGATCGACAGATTCTCTTGTCCCGCCCACTTCACTTTACTGTCCAATCAAAGATTACGTTGCTGTGTTGTTGTACGTGCTCTGACAGCGGAACTGAATAATCGAAATACAGGCTGTCTGCTAGAAACCAACACAACAAGGTAAATTTAAATACACACAGGCTTATTTTAACAAGTTTGTGGAAACAGTTACGTGCATATCGTATCTCCCGGTTATTTACGCTGCACAGTAGTATGATTTAAGTCACTAGAAAGGGTTAAAATGAACTGAGGCCTAACGTCAACGGTTAAGCAAAGCCTTGCGGTTGGTTAGCCGTTAGCAAATGAGCTAGTGTGACACATTGAGCTTGAATAGTGGCTAACACACATTTTAAAAGAGAACTGCTAAAAGTCTCGTAGCTACAACGATATGTTTGTTAGACACTTCATCTGTCATTTGCATTCATGTTTAGTGACTGATAAGCTTAGATGTTAGCTAGGTGATATAGCGGTGCAGCTATGTTAATACGGTGGCAGGGAGTCAGCTGAACAAGCTTTAACTGTTAATCTACCTTGTTCCTTGATCACCACCTTACATGACCAGAGACGTGCCTTAAAACAACAACTTTAGGTTTTGGTTGAATTTTTATCTTTTTAATATGTAGGTTGAGCTCTTGAAACAGTAACGAGTGTCTTACAGTGGCATTTGATGCTCTATAACGTTACACAAGTCTGTTTCGTATGTTGCTGACAATTGTCCTGTGTATTTGTAGTCTTTTGTGGATTTTTCACTTTCACCAAGTTAACTTTGCTCACGCATTGTTTTTCTGAAGCAGTTACTTCACTACATATGCAGTCACAGCCATTATTAAGAAAAATGGTTTTAATTACTCCCACGCTGAAAAGAAATCTGACAGTAGCATAACCTTTTGATAGTAAAGTTTCAGTTTCAGCCAGGAAGAGAATACCCTTACTCTGTATATCTATATATATTTGTGTAAGATCAATTAGTGTTGAAATAATTAGTGGATTAAATGGAACAGTAGGTCGATGTATTGTTTCAATTATTTATAATGCTAAAACGTCAGACGTTTCCAGAGGGATTGCTACCTTTCTCTGCTTTATATCATTTTGAATTTGATTTATTTTGTTTTTAGATTGTTGATTGCACCAAACAAGCTATTTGAAGATGACATCTAGATCTTTGGGAAATTGTGATGGAATTTTTCAATTTTCTATTAATGCACTTAATGGTTAATCAAATAAGTGGAAAGACAATTGGTAGCTTAATCAATAATGGATATAATTGTAGTTCCATCCATTCTTAATGCTTAAATAATATCCTTTTAACTCACAGCGCACACGCACACTTTATATCATTCAGTCATGTTCTCCTTTTTAGAAATAAAACAGTGACATACACTTTTAGCACAATTCCAGGAGCTTAACCTTTGCTGCCATCATGGCTGCCATACATCTTTAAGATGTTATATCTTTAAAGTAACAGTGCTTTCACTTGACTGGGACATTGCAATAAACTGATCACCACTGCCTTTATGTAGTTAACCCTCTTAACTTAGGTGGAGTGAGTATCCGGTACAGATAATGTACTTTTTACGAGTAGTAGTATCATCACAGTAAAATGTGTCAATATCTTTTCTGTGTACTTGCTCATCCCTATCCTTAACGTAAAGTTTTTCCATTTAGTTGATGAAGTCATCTTATCCCAGACTTTTTGACAGTATATTGTATACTGTATATCCTTATCAGCCTGTTTAAACTCTTTTCTATGTTTACACTGGGTAAACTATTCAGAGTCAAATCTTCACTGTTTTTATGTTTATGGGTATGAACAATATTTGGCTGTACAACATAAGAATAACATTTAAAGAAGATTTGGGGAAAACATATGAACCCCTTCTTATTAGAGTTGAGAGTCTATTGAAGTGAGTGTTCCTTTAATGAGTTTGGGTTATGATACACAACGGTGGAAGCTTACAGCTGCCAAATCCAATTGTGAATTGTTTACGTGGTTCCTTCTTATTATTTTATGGAATATTTTATTCTGTTTGATTCTCAAACTCTAAATAGAATCTAAAACTCTCCATAGCAGTACAAATAACAAAAACAACAACTGTAAAATGTTATCGGTACAACAGAAGGTACTGAGGCAAAAGTAGCATTTTATATACAAATAATATTTGATCACATTGTGCTGGCATGATACACAATTAAACATAGGCAACAATAGGCTAAATGAATAGATGAAGTGATTATCTAAGGTCATTACTGCATGACAAAACAGTGTATCACAATGAGTATCTATACCTCCCTTTGTGCTTTGACATCCTCGGGATTATTATTTATTGTCAGTATTATTTTAGTATTCTTAGTGTATTATTCAATTTTATTTGCATTTATTTTTATATCCCAGGGGTCAGTAAGGTGTTCTGGCAGGTCCGCATATTCTAGCCATCTCTTACTGATACACAGCCAGTCGTCCATTTAAATTCCAAGGGATCCATCTGTCTATTTCAATAGAAATAGACAGATTCAATAGAAATAGACAGATGGATCCAATCCTGCCCTTGTGTTCAGAGCTTGATTTGACTTTTAAACAATCCTGAAATAAAAGAGGCACTGTTTCTGAAACAGTGTAGGTTAATTACTTTGGCTGCAGCACATGCCTCCTCATCTGTTCACCTTGCCTGAGAATATGCTCTTTAGATATCGTTTATATTGGTGTAGTGGGACGACATATGCAAGATGTGCATATGTGCATCTAAATGCATCAGATTTAAAATGATACCATACATAAGCACTGACTGAGATAAATAAGAACCAGTCAGACTAGTCTTAGCTCAGCGGTGGGTATTCAGACTCTCTGTTGCATTCATTTTAAGATTTCGCCTCAGGTAATAAAACCAGTCTGATGCAACTGCAATAACTGTTTCATGTATCTTTAAGACTAAACTTCCCTTGTGTCCCAAGAAGTGTCTTCTGGGATTAAGATCTTAAAATATCCCATCAAAGTCACAAGGACATCTTCTCACATTGCACACTTCGAAAGGACACACGAATAGTCTCAGACTGACATCCGGTCTGTGCTATTTCTTTATGTGTAGGTCCTTTTCTACTTTAAAGCTCAGGCCAAAGTATAGAAAACATTGACATCAGGTTTTGCATGAGGCAGTGGTCTAGGGTTTTTTTTGTCCTTGTTTTTTTATTTTCAGGACACACTTTCTGGAGAGTAAATATCTGCTCAAGGCATAGGCAGATTCCTGTCACTACTTAGGTAATTATTCTGCTGTTGCCTTCAGCCCAAGTGTATTTGCATCGTGTCTCTATGCAGGCAACGGGCTTTGATGAATATACATGCCCTGCTTCGCATTCACTTCACTTGTTGCCCGCATTGCTTCTACCTAGTGCAGCTTCTATTCCACTTTCTGAGTAGCTCTCCGGGTAATTTGAGGGTTAAGTGCTTTGGTCAAGAGTACTTGGCTTTTAGACACAAGATGAAAAGGGAGTGTTGTTCAACTCTGTGTCCTTTTAACAGGGCACAGGTTGCTGGACAATATTTCAAAGGGCATGACAAAGGTTTGGGATTGTTAATAGAATATTGATGGAAGATTGTGACACAGTGTCCCTAAACAGCATTTCCCACCACCATAATAATGTGGCAGAGCCAAGGAGGTAACAGATGTTATTTCCTTGATTTTACAGAGCTCTGCTTATCTTATGTGTCTTTCTTTAGTACTTTTGTCTCACCTGCTAACTGTGTCTCTGTGACCTGTGTCCCCTGGCATCAGATGGAGGTGGAGCAGCTCCTGTCTCTGTCAGGCTCAGCACTGGCCCAGGCTGTCAGCTCCCTGCTGGAGACCCCAGGCCTCTACGTCTTCTCTGACATTCTGGAGCTGCCTAATGTCAGAGAGGTAAACACACTCCCTCTCACTTTATCTTCCTCACCCTTTGTGTCTTGTGGGACCTTCTCAGACCTGAACTCGGGCATGAAAAAAATCCATCTTAATCTTCACAGCGAGACAGTTATTCTCACAAGTGGTAATATATCCACCAAACCACATTCAGAGGGGTCAGTGATGCATGTGAGCCGATGTGACCACATTGTTGGTGGAGCATCAACACAAATGTATTTCCTAACCACGCTGGGCCGTGTTATCACCTATGGGAATGTATATATTTCTGCATCGATGATGTAATCCCTGTCCCAACTCACATCCCAATGAACACATCTCTACATAGAGTTCCTGGGCGTGAATTTCAAAATGTACATTACCAACATATTACGTATGTTGTATGTTAAACTTAGGTATGAGAATACGTAGTTAGCACCCTATTTTGGAAATGAAATGCTACTGTTACAGTAGAGTAGGACTGTGCGACACAATTTTTCCATTCAGACCACAGGGGATTTTTACTAAGGAATTATGTCCCCTTTTGATGTCATGTTGTATCTGTCCATATTTACTAAAAGACCATTCAAAGCCTTTGTGCAGGTAAAATGGAAGACAAGCAGCCCTGCTAAAGAAGTCATACAGAGGACATTGGGTCTGAAGTTTAATGTCTGAGAAAAGCAGGTGTAAAATCAGCAGCGCTGTTTTATTGGATGAACACAAAGGCAGAGAGACTAACCAAGTTGAAAGAGTGAGTGAGAGAGACATACAGTGAATGATTGAGAGAAATGGTTTTGACATTGAAAATACATAACATTGGATGCAATGAATAATATTACAGTAAATTAAATAAAATGCATCATAATCTTTTAGACAAAAGAGAAACAATGCAACAGTCTGTTATTTTATAACACAAAGCTTTACCCTTCTGTTCCCCTCAGTGGTTTTCTGCTTTAATAAAGTTTTTCTTTATTTCACAGCAGGTCTAGTCCTGTGGAATATAAATGTAACAGCCAGTAATACTTGCATGTAATATTATTTTAATCTTTTAAAAGCAGTAATCTTTTTTTCTATCAATCTTATCTTGTTTTAAGTTTTATCAAAAATCTCCCACAACATTGGAATATTTATAATTTTTCCTCACATACAGTCATCTTCTTGGGGGTTGAAGAAAAGCTTGCATTTCCAAGGCTCTTCTTTTCAAACAATATTTCTGACAGAAAACATTTTCTTTTGCTCCTCCCTGCTTTCCAGACATGCGCAACACTCCTCAAATCAGTGCGGTGTTTATAGTAATCAGATGAACAGAAATAATCTAGTCAATAATCTGTTGGGCTCATTTACATCTAAATGGAAAAAGTGCGGCGCCCCTGGTGGTAATTTTGCCAAACGTAGTAGGTATCCCCCTGGTGTGTACTGTAACAGGTGAAGCAGTTTTAAACAGAAGAAGAATCTATATGGTTGAACAGCCACATTTAAATATTAAATCTTGTAAAATTTCTTTGCCGAGACAGACTAGGAAAAGGTTGTTGGTTCATTAGTTGTGGAGAGGTACGTTTTGCTCTATGTTTATTTGCTTTGATTTGGAAATCAAAGCATCTCTTCTCTTTTTGAGATTAATGTGCATAATTTTGTGCATGGTCCCTGATATAAATACATTTAATAAACATAATAAGAATCTGCTGATAGCTTTGAGTCAGTATAAGGAAACACTGTGCAAGTGATTCACTCTGGTATTTGAATATTGAACAGGGATCTGAAGTTTGATCAGAATGGATCATCAGAGTTAAGTCTTCATGGGCTCTCTCTCTTTCTTAACCTCATTGAGTCTCAACAGGACCTTTCCTCAGTCAGTGTGCACAGTTTTTATGTTGAGAGTCTCATTACTTCTGTGTTCTGCCACATAATTTTCTCTTTCCCCTCATCTTCCCTCTAAACCACACAGCTGGAGAATGGCCCTCATGCACCAGTGTACCAGCTCCTGAACCTCTTTGCCTATGGAACCTACTGCGACTACAAAGGTATTGCAGTGGCAGCACAGTGTAAATAAGTAATAGGGCAGCCCTGCAACTCTCTTATTATGAGCCGTATTTCTTTGCTGCAAGGCAGACACCCTGACACAGAGGCTTAAACACCCTCACCTGAGACACTGCAGGTCTGTTGTTCACTGATAAAATTACTGGAAAGTTTTTTATCTGTTTGGGCAACTTTTCATCAAGCGCTCTGATTGCCTGATGATTGTCTTTGTAGCAGCAGTGCTGGCACAAAAGGAAAATAAACAAATCATTTGTGCCTTAATTTGCTGTCTTGTGTAATGCAGTGGGAATCTTCAACAAGTGGAATGTTAATTATGTCTTCTTTTATGCTGAATATCAAGCAGTAGCCTGGAAAAAGAATGTAGCCTACTTTATTGTTCCCTTCCCTTTCGAGTCACACCGACAGGGAGTGCATTTACTTTCATAGAGCTGTGTAGTGGAGCCCTTAGAGGACCTGTCAGAGCTGCCGTCTCGGAGAGTGTGAGTCCCATCACCAGGGGAGGAGTAGGAGACAGTGGCTGTAGACCGACTTCCTGCAGAGTCTGTTCTCTGACTGCTTAAACAGCTCCACACTCATCACCTACATGTCTCTGTGTAACATTAGGCCCCGATCAGACACAATTCGTTTTTTGCGGTGAGAGGCGCCTTTTTTCAATTGTTTTCTATTGGCAGTGAGCGTTTTGCGCTCTGTTTATGCGCCCTGGGCGCCTCGCGTTTTCGAAGGAGTGCTCTGAGCGCACAAAGTTGAAAAAATTCAACTCTGAGCGGAAAAGCGCCCGAAGTCATTTTTTTTCATTGTCCAATCAAATGAATGGAGAGATGGAAGTTTACAATTCCTTGGATTATCTGGAGACTGCAAAAAACTGTCCCCACTCATCCTAAAATAAGCCTTGAACCTACAATCATCTAGGGCTGAAACTATTCATCGATTAAACCGATTACTAAAACGCTTCGTTTAATCCATATACAGAACAGTGTGTCGCACGGACATTTATTACTGTCGCACATCGCGCTTACGCTGTGAACATGACGTGATTTTAATGGCGCTGTTTGCAATGTGGAGGAAGAGAGGGAAACTAGGGAGGGACAAAGAAGAAAGTGTCCAAAGTATGGGATTATTTCAAGCTAAAGAAAACAACAGCAACTCTGTAATGTTACAGTCTGTCCACCTTAAAACGAAACTTATGTCGCCTCGGCAACAGCACGACAGCATCTGATCAGAAAGCAGCAGGTGTTCTGCCCGCGGACCACAGACAAGGTTACAGCAACTTTAGCATTTAACTGAAATCATGATTGATTGTTGAGTTGGACACTAGCCAGAGTAAACCGCAGTCCTCAGCTGAAAATGTACACGTGCATTTGTTGTTGTCCTTTTGGGCCGTGAGTTGTAACTTCACAGTCAAGAGTTAACTGGGTGTCGGGGAGCTGCACCTTTTAAGTCACTCCCAGCTCTCGGTAGCTCAGACAATCCCTGCTACCTGCGTGTGCTAATCCATCCTTCACCCATATTCTTTGTCTTTATAATTGGGGTAGGGCCGCCGCCGCCACGCAAAAGTACTTCTTAAACGACGCATCGATGAATCGTTGAAATAATAGAAGCTTCGAATACTAAAATTAGCTGCAGCCCCACAACCATCATCATTAATATGAAGCTACTGGACCAGCTGGTGGTACTACCAGCGGTGTCTCCTCTTTATGAGGGTCTCATGTACCCACACGGATTTCCGTTTCCCTGTCTCCTGCATGTTTGTAAACCTCTCACCCTTAAACAATGCCAGAGGCAGATGTTTTTAGCAACAAAAGACACAAACCTGTGTTTTGATCAAGTTTCTGCTAATATGACGGTTATTACTTAGCAGCATACCAAAGATTACAGATCGTTGACAGCTGATTCGGTGGTTGCCTAGCAACATAAAAACGAAGCGCACTGCTCTTTTCTAAATTCAGCCAAAAAAGGCATTGCTGTGCACCTCCCGTTGTCAAACCTGCAAAGCGCTTTCTGTCTGATCGGGGACTTACTCTTCAAAGTAATAAGTAGCGCCTCAATTATGTGTGACTGCTTGACCCTCAGCAAAGTGACAATTTAAACACTGCTCTGGTATAGTTTTTCCTATTGTGTTTTTTATTTTATGTTCTTCTCTGCTGCTGTAGAGAGAGCAGCCTCTCTTCCAGAGTTGACCCCGGCACAGAAGAACAAACTCCGCCATCTGTCCATCATCAGCCTGGCATCCAACCTCAAGGTACTGATTCATTCTTTTGCTGTATGCAGGTGAGCTAATAATGTTGTATTTGTCTCAAAAATAGAAAATAAATGTAACTGCTGCCATTATATTGCCTTAGGCTTCATAAAGCAAGATATTAATGATGTTTCAACAATTCTACTTTCAAATATAGCTTTTGCTAGTTTGTTCAGACAGATTTTACCATCCAAGTTCATGTGAGGTTGGCTGTGATTTTAAGCTTGTGACTGTTTTTATCAACAGCATAGCCTTTCAGTCTCTCCAGAAAAAGTTACCAGCAAAACTACTACTGCTCATGTCAATTTAAACTTCTTAACCCTCCTTCCATGAGTTTTAAATGTTCTTTTTTTTTTCTTTCTTTTTACTGAATCTCTCATTTCAAGCAGACGGCACCTCTGCTTATGCCCTTTTCTTTCTCTGTTCCTGATAAATAATTGATTCATTATTCTCACCAGCTCTGTCCGTTTTTTATCTCACTTTCCACTACCTGTGCTCCTTTCACTCCTGCTCCTGTTTGTCTCCTTAATATGTCACAGCTTTCTCCACATATAGGCCTGAACTCAGGACATTAATTGCCCAGTGAAGGACTGTTGAATTGTCCAAACTTTCCTTTCATCTTCCATGACATTTAGACAAATGGGCAATTTTCACTCAGCATTTTTTTGTAGCTTTCCGTTAAACCTTTAAAGTGGAATCAAATGATCTGCCTTTATACCTCGGTTAAAAAGGAAAAGAATATGAGGATTAAACTCTGGTCGTGTCTTTTTCCCCCTCAGTGCCTGCCGTACTCACTGCTCCTGCAGCAGCTCGAGCTGAAGAATGTGCGGGAGCTGGAGGACCTGCTGATCGATGCTGTTTACTGTGACATCATCCAGGGCAAACTGGACCAGAGGAACCAGCAGGTGGAGGTGGACTGCAGTGTGGGTCGTGATCTCGGCCCCAACGAGCTCCCCAACATAATCAACACACTGCAGGAGTGGTCAGTGTCACCTCTGTGTGTCTGTGCACACACTTTAGATTTATGTCTCAATTATCTGTTTTCCGAACTCACAATCGGCTTTCTCCTTCCCTCCATGTCTGCCGTTTCTGTCTCAGGTGTACAGGGTGTGAGGCGGTGCTGTGTGGTATTGAGGAGCAGGTCTCGAGGGCAAACCAGTACAGAGAGAGCCAGTTGAAAGTCAAAGTCCAAGTGGAAACAGAGGTTAGTCCCTCTTTTGTTCTGCCTACAATTCCCTCAGTATTTCCCCCCAGAAAATCCAGTAAATGTGACGTTTGTGTTCCTATGCTTCCAGCTACTTGTGGTATTTTAGTTTCCCCCTGACTGCATATTTTGTTATTTTGCATCTTGTTTGAGGGTCAATCCATATAGCCTGTTCATAACTCTAACTTTCAAGGATAAGTTCACGGTTCTTCACGTTTGTCTTAAAAGGTTAGGTGCCCGTATGAACACTGAAACGGCTTGCTGCAGTCATTCCTCCTGTTCATACTGGTTTTGAAGACATCCATTCCTAATGTACTTCTAATGTAAGTAATGGGAGAAAAAATTCAGTCCTTGTTCTGTGCAAAAACAAAAAAAACATCCAAGATTACGGTCTTCTTAGTAAGAAATTCAGTCTGTGTTCCTGTCCCTCAACTGCAGGTCAGCAAGGAAACGCTGTCTGTGGAAACACAGAGGGAATTTGTACTAAATAAAATAGTCGATGAGATGAGTCTTAGTTTTCATTGGTCAGTTAGTCGCAGAAAAGATCCAACAACCTGAAACTCCTTTCGGGAGCTGCGCCTTGTCGTTAGGGCCAGGACGCAAGTATCAGGGGATTGTAGCAACACAGAACTTTCCTCAATCATTACTGCTTGTCGTTAACAGGCGGCTCGCTTTTTTGCCCCTTGGAAAATGTATATTTTATAGGTTCATTATTATTTTATTCCTCTGTAATGTAGCACAGTGTGAACAGTGATACTTATTCTTATAAGATTCTTTCTCAGCCCTGGAAATCTTTTCTGCTCCATTTTCTGATGCCTCAAAAATTTATATTTAAATAATTAAATGAATATCACAAACATGAGACGACTAGTCGACTAATGGCTTGAACTAATGACTCTACTAAATGGACTGTAACCTTTGGAGATACCCCCTTTCTTTGATTAATTCAGACTGCTGAAGCCTCATATTAGCTTCATATACACTTTTCAGTACATTTTTACACAGAACAGGGACTGTGAATTTTGTCCACCATCACTGACATTTAAATCACGGTATGAAGGGATTTCTTATTGACCAGTAGGAACAATTATAGCAAACAATACCTGTTTCAATGTTTATATGTGGACCTTACTATTGTTTTGAGACAGACATGAAACATTATAACCTTTAACTCATCCCCCCTCTTTAATCTTTAATTTTTTAATCACTCTCCACTTTCCCCTCAGGTGTCAAACCTGCAGAAAACGTTAAAGGCCAGCGCCGCCTCTCCGTCTTCAGGCCCTGCTCCCGCTGGAGCCGCCTCCAATCAGGATGCAGACCAGCCTGCAGAGCCACGAGACCCCGCCTCCTCTCAGGAACCACGACAACCAGGGAAAAAAAGCTCTAAGGTGAAAGGGTGAGTACTTTGACATCACATTTGTATTTACTGCGATTATATGGAGGAATGTGGCTCCACACAGGGAGGCCGCCAAGTATAGTCCGCATGAGTTTTCTGAGCATCTTGGATGTTACGGGCTTTCTATACAAACAAACCAGAGTTTGCATACAAATTGCATTCATTTTTCTAAAGTATGGCCAAGCATTTCAGAAATTGGATACATAAAATGTGTTTGGCCATGTAGAATAATTTACTGAAATTATGTTTTATTCAGAATTGTTGGTGCGCTGTTCAATCAAGTTTGTGTTTTTAAGCAGGATGTCCTATTTATTCCTACAAGTCACAAAATTTAAACAAAAAGCTACATGTGGAGTTTTTTTCCATTAAGTTTATTTTATTGCAGCTTCTCCTTTTGTTCTTTAGAGCACTTTGTAACTGTGGTTTTTGAAAGGTGCTTTATAAATACGAATTTACCTAGTTATAACCGCAGCACTATAAAGACTCTACTTCAAACTAAATTAAAGCCATTAGTCCAATGTTCTTTTAGAGAGCAAAGTTAATTCACAGAGAACCCGCTATGTTTCC